TAAATTTTCTTAAATTAATAACTTTAATAGAAAAATAATAATAAATCACAATATCCGTAGTTTTCGATGGCGTATATATATGCCATTGTGGTGGATCTGGATGGCTTGCCTGAGGGAATTTAATATTTATTTGTTGATCGTGTTACCNAATTTAATATTTATTTGTTGATCGTGTTACCGTCTGGAATCCCAATGGAGCAATCCGCACAGAGTCCTTCAATATGTGTATATGAGGTAGTGATTATGTGTATAGTAATGTATTCAACACATTCAAAACAATGCATTATAATTATAGATATTATAATGTATTATAAGATTTACATTAAGTTACAAAATAAAAGTAAAGATCAATATAAATGTCTTTATATATATATATATAAAGTAAACTCTCATAATAACACTGTAAGTATTAGAATATGTTTTACAATTATAGTGTTTATTTTGCAATAGTAGACACTAGACTAACTAATTCTAAAAAAAATTGGTGTTGCAAAAATCAAGGGGACTTCTACATGCGGATGTCCGTAACAATCATACATATATTTATGTTCACAAGATAAATTATTTCATAAAGTGGTAGTGACATATCACCACCCCCCTAAAACTAAGGTTCATGCTCCATGAACCCCGAAGTTTTACATACATAAATAATCAATAATAATACAATAATATAATTTTTCTTATTTTTGTACCTCATAGCAGCTTGTATTTTTATATACCTATATTCGTATATTTCTGTTGAATCACTGTGAATTACTCCGTAATGTTATTTATGTTTCTGTTGAATTACTCACTTATGTTATGTATGTTTAAATTGTTATTAATCTAGATTGTAAAAAAGGGCTATGCCCGTTAAATTTATAAATAAATAATAATATCAATAATTCTACCCACTAAATAGTGTTACAAGTATAATTCGATACAGCATAATATTTAACGTAGGAATTCTATCCCGAGTAGCATTATTTTGGTTCAATAATGAACCGTGTAATTTTTTGTAAGTGCTAAAACCGTTTAATGTTCAAAATAATCGTACGGATTCACCAAAGTTCTTTCATTATAATGAAAGAATCGTTAAACCGTTATAACGATTCAAATAGTTTTATTCACATATATTGTTATTAGACATATTATCCCTTGATTAGTAAATTAATAAAAAAACTTTAAAATAATAGTCATAAAATATTTTCATTGATTCCATAGTGCGAATTTAACGTACGAACTTTTGGCGGAATAACCAGACGTGTCAGTATTCGTTGACCAACAGTTTTAGTTCGTGCGATTTTTATTTGTTATTTAATTTTTACTATGACATTTTATCAAATCATCAACGATTGTTTTACTCTTTTTACAAATTATGTTTTCGAGACATTCGCCATTTTCACAGCGACTAGATAACTTGTCAAGACTGCTCTTTTTCCCTATTCACTCTCACATATACAGGGTGATTTTTTATCATAAACCACTCAATTACTTACAGAATAATAATAATTAAAAATTTTTTTTTTATTATTATCTTTAGTTACACATTATTCTTGATTTATTAACTATGTAATACTTTTTAAGTACATCCCTTATGCCTGGTAAAGGTGTCAACTTTGTTTTTTTAAATGGTAACACATATTTTTAATTTAATAAAATGTTTGAGTTTTTAATTCAATAGTAAATGGCATTTGAATTTTTAATAAAACTTAATTTGTTTATTAGATATAAACATTTAAAGTTTCAAATTTTTGGGTTAATATATAAGTATAATACACAATGGATTACATATACAGGTAGCTAATTGATTTTTGATGATATCGATATTAGCAGGTACACAGTATTGTTATTATCAATGATAGTAAGGCACACTGTTATGAGTTAATAAATATACTAACTTACAATACAGAAAGTATATCTATTGATAGTCATAATTGATTATAAACAATCCGTGACTGTGATAGCAATATCATAAAAAACCAATTAGCTACCTGTATTTGTAATCCCTTGTGTATTATACCTATATATTAACTCAAAAATTTGAAACTTTAAATGTTTATATCTAATAAACAAATTAAGTTTTATTAAAAATTCAAATGCTATTTACTATTGAATTAAAAACTCAAACATTTTATTAAATTAAAAATATGTGTTACCATTTAAAAAAACAAAGTTGACACCTTTACCAGGCATAAGGGATGTACTTAAAAAGTATTACATAGTTAATAAATCAAGAATAATGTGTAACTAAAGATAATAATAAAAAAAAAATTTTTAATTATTATTATTCTGTAAGTAATTGAGTGGTTTATGATAAAAAATCACCCTGTATTGGCAGACATTTTGTACGGATCAAGAAATTTTACGGTGTCTGAGAAAGGCATTAAATTTGAAGATGCATTAAAAACTCCCGTGACGCTAGATATGATTAGAAGTGACTGTGAAATTTATAAATCTGAAATCCGTTCAGGCGTATACAATTTATTGTTTGGGGAAAAAAATTATTTCAATTTCAATTTTTTTTCTATATTATCACATAATGTAAATAATGAAATTATGTACTCCATATGCACAACTGATGATTGCATACGTGATATGGCGTATGATCAAGATAGCTTTACAATAAAATATATTAAAGATCAAATATCCATTAATCAGAATAGCATGTACTATTTAATTTTCAATTTTCCATCACAATTCAAATGTCATTATTGTGATGATCAATTATTTAAATGGTTCATATAAAAAAGCTTATTTATATAGTATTTCTTTTTTTTAATTTTTGAAAATGTTGAAATAATTAATGATTAATAAATGTAATTTTTTTTTATAACTTTGTAATAAAATATTGATGAATACCTAAATATTTTTTTTCTTTACATCATTAAAATTTACTTTAATCTCTGATTACTCTAACAATAATTAATCATATGGTATTAAATGATGAAAATAAAAAGTTAATATTATGTTTTAGTAGATGACTTACAAAGGTATAGTATTTATACTATTATTGGTGTAAAGTTTTTAGATTTTTTAGAGCCGCTATTGATTTTTTTAATATTTTTTTTTTAGAGGCTAATTGAATAATTAAATGCATCTTTTACGATTAAAATTTAAATTCAACCCTAATGTAAAAGGGTAGAAATCTACCCTAACTTTAGAAATTTAAATGGCAAGCCCTAATTTTTTCTACTCATTTTAATAGAGAATTTAATTTTAAAAAGAATTATGGTGAAAATAACTTTTTATGTTAAACCATTTTTAAATAATCGTTGTTTTAAGGGTAGAAAAGTGTCCTATTTGAAGGCAGATTTTGCTATGATCATTTTTATGAATTTAATTTTATAAAGATGATATCAATTGCAAATTATCTACAAATCTATTAAGAAAAAAAAAATTTTCATTAAAGCATGTAAAAAGAACTTCAATGGATATTTTAAAAATCGTTCTCTTATACGCGATCTTTAATTGGGGTATTTGTAGAATATAGCATTATCTGTCAATGCATATCATACTGTTTCCTGACTTTTTTCTATAGGAGTTTTAGCATTGATATCTAACATACATAACTAGTGTACACTTTTATCTGTGACCGTTGAAACGTATTCAATTGTTATAGTCGCTTTATCGACAATTAGTGTCATTTAATTAAAACCTTATATTAACTCATATTGAAACCTTCCCTATAGCCAGATAAAGGGTCAAACGTTCACAAAAATATACCAAATGAAAGGTGAAGACATCATGCATGTATAAAAAAAAATTATATTGATTTGTTCATTTTTAAAAAAGTTATGGAAGTAAGAAAAAAAAATGTCGAAAATTACCGATTTTTAAAATTGTAATTTTTTTGGAGATTAACCTCATTTACGACGAACGAGATAATTTTTCTCAATTTTTGAGGATAACGTCTTCGACTAGATACATTTTGTATTGTTCATAAAAATCCGTCCAGTGAGAGCTGAGATTGAGTGGTAATAGACAAAAAAAAACTATCATAGTAATATTAATATCTCTCAGCTTCGCATCGAAACTAAAAATTATAACACAACCAATCTTCACCTAAAATATAAAACATCTTAATTTTTTTCTTAATTTAGAATTGGAGTAAAAACAAGAAATGATGTAAATTAAATCTTTAGCAATCAGAGGACGAATAATTTCATTTAAACCAGTATAGAAGTATATATATAACAATATAATAATTTAAATAAGATATAGTAATAAACTGAAATAAATTATTTTGATTAGACTGACCGTGTATATTAATTTCAACACCAAACATAATTAGTGTATTTTTTGTCTAAGAGTGATCTTAGTAAGGAGTCCTAATTCATTATTAATATCTTTATAATCTAGTTAAATTAAATAAGTATAAAAATAAGTACTATTTTCCTTAAATAGGCCCAAACTATTCGAGTACATCAATGATAATTAAACATTCGCCCTTGCTTTTATTAATCCTAATCAATTTATATTAATTTGGGTTTTAGTATTGTGGTGGGGTGTTGGATTAGTAGAGTAAAATTAGGTTATGAAAAAAATAGATACATCAGTTTAAATTTATAATTGGTTGATTTTTTAACTCATTTGAATCCATTATTATTTGCATAATTTGCATATCACATTTGAAAGGTAAGATTACTTCAGTTAACATAATTTTATATTAAAATAAAAGATCTTTTAACGATAAAAGTGTGTTGAAGAGAATTTTATTTATTTTTTAAACTAATGAGTTTTAAGCTGTTAGAAAAATTTAGTACTCCTTCTATTTGTCGATAATAATAAAAAATTACTGAAAACAAATTTAGTTATAAATTTAAAAAAATTGTGAAACTATATATGAATCATCAATCAGTTAAAATTATTATTATAATTATTAGTTTAAGTTATTAAGTATGTAGATAAATCCATTAACTTTAAAATTTGTAACTGACTAACTTTTTCACTTATTTTTCCTATAATTGTTTATTATATAGTTTTTGTATTCACACAACATAACTATTTAAGTATAAAATTATTTGATTTAAGAAAACTTTATATTAATATATACATTTATTTAATAAAGCAATATAGTATAACACAATATTAACAATAAACTTATAAAACGTAAGAAAATGTTTGGAAGTATACAAAAATATCAAAAAAAAAATATATATATTAATTGAATATGAATATTAGGAAATTGTATATAAATAATTTTAGCAATTTTCTTTCATAAGAAATTATAAAAATAATTGGCCGGCTATAATTTCTTCTCTGTGTCTTACAAAAGGCATAAGACTCGCATTTATAGGAGTTGTGTCTCCACGAGCCATTTTTTCGGCTAGCTCAACCGTAAATGGATCACAATCATATCCATTAGTTTGATGAATCGTCTCACCGATTTTTAAAGTCCACGACGAAGCGGCTCCCTTTTCATCCATCTCCCAGTCAGTTAGATACTCTTTAAACACCATAGGATAAGAACCATCATATGACTTAAGACTGTCATACGATGTCACAGTTCTTTGAGGTACGTTAACATCAGTCAATATCCAATGTTCCCCATACACATTCATTGGCACAAAAAGTAATTTTAATGTATGAATATCTTTCTTTATCCATCTTCTTGCAGCTGGATAACCACCTCGAAGATATGCTGGTATAAAATCGGTAACGACTGCATAAACTTCGCCATTTAACCTTTTCGCTATCAATTTAAGATAATCATTAATTGTATCCGAAGTGTACCAAGATTTAGGCGACTTAAACGAAGGTGAATTATACTGATCCAGAGTATTTGTGTTCTGATCATGCGTTACTTCTACAAGAGTAAACGTATTTATAAACTGTTATAAATTACTTAAGCAAGCTAAATGGTTTAATATGAGTTAAATTTTTCCTAGGTTTTGGAATATAAGATTAAACACAATTAAACATAATGTGTGTTATGGATGTTTCTATGTGAAATAAATATTAAAGAAATTAATAAAAAAAAAATATTACTTTACCTATTTCTTTCTCCGGTATTTCATCAATTTCGACAATGGCAGTCGACAGGCAAGTTAACATCATTCGTATTTGAAGCCGAAACTTCAGAACTAACTTTCGACTCTAAAAAATGAATGTGTTTAAAATAGTGCTTAATTGGTACAATAAACTAATGAAAGGTTAAATTTTTAAAATAGAATTATTGAATACTTTTTACGACTTTCTCATCTTTTTCCGATGAATTTCTTTTCAAATTTGAGCTTTCAGAATTGTTACAGGATAACTCCAGGAGTTGTTATTTTACTCCACATTTTGTGGGTTGTAAATTAATTATTTTTTCTTCTGAAGTTTCTTTTGTTTTATCAGTGGACACGTCTGGTAATGTAACGTCATTTTTTATTAATTTATGTTAGAAACTTGACGTTTTACATAATATGAAAACATAGTTAGTAATAATACTACAGCTTTTTTTTAGTTTTAGGCGACTGTGTCCTTAATGCATTTATTTTAAGGGTTATTAAAGATAGTGATAATTTTTATTAATTTAAAATTAACTTAATTTCAATTTCCACCACCGGATCTTCGATTTTTCCCCTGTGTTTCTTCTATTTTTGTTTATTCTCTTTCCGGTACACCACAGCTCCATTACCATCAGTCTATGTTGTGTAGTTATACTCTCGCCTGGTATAACTTTACAACCTTTTACTCGCTTTACGCTCTCTTTCTACCACGTAAAATAATCGATCTGTGATCTATTCCTCCCACTCTTATATGTTATATAATGTTTTTCCTTCTTTTTAAAATAAGTATTAACCACAGCAAGATTATACGATACTGCGAAATCCAGGATTCTTTCTCCAGCCTCATTCTTCCCCTTAAAACTATATCCTCCACATACTCTTTCATATCCTCTCCTTTCATTACCTACATGTCCATTCATACCTCTACCTATCACCGCATCCTCATTGCCAAATACCCTTTGCATCACCTCATCCATCTATCTCTAAAACACTTCCTTTTATATATAATCACATCCCACTTGTTGTACATAGGCACTTATTACATTCAGCACTTTTTCTTCGAATATCAATTTTACGACTTTAAAAAATGTCACTTTTCCTAGCTACTTCTACTACTCTACTTTTCATTTCCTCATCCATTATTATCCCTACATCATTCTTTGTACTAGACTTACTTGTGTATACTATTTTATAACCCTCACCTAAATCCCTTGATTTCTCTCCTTTTCACTTAGTTTCCCGCACACAACATATGTTAACTTTTCTCCTCCTCAATAATTCTACTAATTCTCTACTTCTACCAGTTAATGTTCCAACATTCCAAGTACCTATTCTTACTTTGTATCTATCTTTCTCCCTTATACACGAGTCCAGCCTTGAGGTAAGTGTTGATGTCCCTTCACCGTTGACATTAAAAGCGTTGGGTAGACCTGTACACATGACTTTTTCAACTTAAATTTTGAAAATGTTCTGGACATACTACATCCTTTAAACATATGACAAATTAAAACTTACAATATATACTATAAGTTCAAAAAAAAAAATTTGTCCTGACACCTTTTCTTCTATAAAAAAATGGCCGTTAAATTTAACGAAACTTATAATTTTTATGTAAAAATCATTGTTTAACATGAAATATTTTAATACTTAAAATTGCCATAACTTTTAGAAAAATGAACAAATTAAAATAATTTTTTTTTATTGAAATCTTAGATATTTTTCTATCATATGATATAAATTTTTTGAAAATCTGACTCTAAACCTGCCCATAGCGGGGATTAAAAAAAGCAATTTTCGCACACTGTTAAGCTATTTCAATTGAATTTTTGAAAATGTTCCAGATATATAGACACTTTTATGTAATCTTAAATTGAAGATTATATTATATACTTAAATACAAAAAAAAAAATTCCAAATATAAATTTCCTTCTTGATGAAAATGGCTACCGTATTCAAAAATATGCTAATTTTTGTTTATGTATTTCATTTTATTTTAAAATATCTTACAAGGGGAATACACTGACTTTCATGAATATTATGTAATTTAATTGACATAGAATAAAGTTCATAAGACATATGAAATAAAACTAATTTAAATTTTTTTACTTTTTTAAAGTCAAAAAAGTAACTTTAAAATTTGAATTAGCTTAAATTGCAAATTTTATCAATCGACCAAAGCAACGAACAGTTGATGAATAGGTAAAACTTGTATCTTTCACGCTTAGGGTCGAGTTTCGAATCTGCTTGTAGCAATTTATATTTTGCCTCTTTTTTTTTTTTTTGAGTTAGAAAAAAAATATTCAAATCACTTTATTTTAATCTCATTTAGATTCATTAACTTCATTAAATATTGAGGATCACATCACTGTAGTCTACCCTCGTGAGGAGAAATATCTTATTCGTGTTAATATTATTTTACTTTTTTTTTTTTTTTGTGGCTGCGATTTATTTTTCCAATCCTCACTTTACCTACTTTTTTCAATAATACGTCAAATTATTACTATTCATATTTAGTTGAAGATATTACGCTTAAAAATTGAAAGAAAAACCTTTAATCAAATCTAAGTACCTTAAACAGCTTTATCCATACTAACAATTAAAATGATTTATTTCTAATATTTTTAATGTATTTACTGTCGAATTAGACTTGATATGATAAAAGTATTCAACTACAAAAGTAAATAATTTTACTTTGTAATTTATTCATTTTTTAACTCTATTATTGTGTGTTACTAACAGTCTATAGACATTCCAAATTATTTCGTAACATATTGCTATAGAAATAATAAATTTAAAAAAAATTATATTTAGTTTCACCTTAATTTAACAATGGATTTTTACAATTATAATCAAATTTTAAAATACGCTCAATTGAGTAGATCTTTTTAACAACTTTTTGTTTGGTTTTTTTAGTTAAAGCAAATCATTAAAATTTATTATGTTCTGTATATTTCAATTATAGAATATTTTTAAACACCAAAAATTAATTAGAAATGATTTCTATGATTTCTATTTAAGTGATCTATTACAATAAAAATGCAAAAAAAAAATAGAGTTTTTCTGATATATTTACTGTAAACAGTAAATATACAATTTTTCTAACTGCATATTAATCTTAACAATACCATTTTTTTCTATTTATTGTCAATTTCAAACTTGTAAGTTGAGTTAAAAGTTATGGTAATAAATTCATTTTTTTTTATTGTAAACTTTCACTTTAAAGGACGAAAAAGAGTTGGTTAAAAAATTATTACATTTAATACATTAAAAATAAAAATCAATAATAATTTGAAAAGAATTAATTGTAAAAATTATATAATATATAATTAAAAATATTTTGCTTTTGTAATTATCCACCAATTTCTGAGAATTAAACACTATCTACATTAGGGTGACCGTTAGCTATATGAGAGGTTTTTTTTTTTAATATTTGTAAGTGTCACCCCCTAGAATTATTTAAATATATGAAAAAATAAATTGTACAAAATTTGGTGACGATTGGTCAACTCTAAGACGTGCCCCAAGGGGGTTAAAAATAACCCCCCAAGGGTGATTTTTTAGTTTTTTATGTCTATCTCAAAAACTTTAGCTTTTGCCAAAATGTTTATTCGGACTTTTTTGTAGGTATACAATTTTCTATAAAAAGTATATTTACAAAAATATTTGAAAAGTTCTTATTTAGCCCTGAAAAAATAAAAACGTATATGTTCTATTTTTACCATTAAAATTGTTAATTTATAAATCGTTCACTGTAAAAACATAAAAAAAATTAATTTAACCGTTGTTTAAAATTTAATTTTCTATACATTTTTAATTCGACATTTTTTCTATTATTTACTATTCAAAACCTACAATTTTTTTAATTTTAATTAAAAAAAAAACAGAGTAAAATTAATACCGTCTCAGTTTCACATTGAAGCTAAAATAATGTTAACTTACAAATTTATATACAAACAGAGACTATACAAACTTGTAATAAAAATACATAATGAACGAATATTATTTAACTCTTTGATTGACAATTCAAATTGGCTCCGAAACAAAAAAAAATTTCAAACAATAAATAGCCTTGGCCATCCAACGAGCATGATGGATTGGGCCAGGAATTTTAAAATAAATTCTATGTAAAGGTGTTTCACCAAAAAATATTATGACCAATTCTAAAAGTTCCTTATAGTCATCTCGAGGTTGGTATTTTTGTAATTGTTCAAAACTAAATTTCAAAATATCATCTTTTTTTGTTTTTAATTTTTCTAAAATAACAGTATCTTCTATTCCACTTAGGTAATTTGTTTTATTTATATTTTTCCAAGACTTTTAGAATTTATTGAAAATAGGAACATCTGGTTCAGATGACGTATTAAATTTTACTTCAAAACACTTTTCAATATAATTTCATAAATGTGATGTCAGCATAGTAAGTATAAAATATCATGCCCTAACATTTGCATGGAATTTATTTTAAAATTCCTGGCCCAATCCATCATGCTAGTTGGATGGTCAAGGCCATTTATTGTTTGAAATTTTTTTTGTTTCAGAGCCAATTTGAATTATCAATTAAAGAGTTAAATATTTGTTCATTATGTATTTTTAATACAAGTTTATATATTAAACAATGGTTTAGTGCACCAATGCTGCATTAGCGCAAAATTTAGATTTACAATTTATTAAAAATATAATATATTATGAACCAATAGATAAAGATATTTCTAAAGTAGTTTTCAAAAAAAATTTCGGGTCACTTATGGTACTTAGTATCCGAATCGGCAGAATATAAATTTATAATATATTAGCATTTTTTGATGATGATTTATGTGAATATACTAAAATTAAAATGGTAAACTCATTAAATAATCGAGAAGAAGATCCATGTACAAACAAACGTATAGTAGTTGGAGTAAATGAAATGTATGATTTTAAAAATAAAAGTATAGATGATTTTATTTCAACTGAGTTAAAAAAAATGTTTGAAAGATATAACATTGAAACAGATTTTTTAAATATAAATCCTTTAAGTCAATATATCAGAGGAAAAATAATAGTAAATATTTTAAAAGTTATAAATGATTTGGCAGAGAGGTACGTGAAACTTATAGAAGAGTATAATAATATTTTAACAAAATACGAAGCCAAAAACCATACCTATTACAGATTGTTACAGAATACCAGCGTTGTTTTCCTAATTGCAATAAAAGCATATTATGCCTAGAATTTTAAAAAAGATAAATTATTTAAAATATTTAGTAAATTTTTTTAGTACGTTTTTTTTTTGTAAACAGTTTCTGATTGTATGTAAATTTGTTAGTTAACATTATTTTAGCTTCAATATGTTTTTTTAATCACATTATTTAATCATAATTATTATGATTAAAATATTATAAAGTTATAATTCGCGTCGCCTTATTTACTAGCTTAAAAAATGTACCAAATCGTAATTGTTAATTACTTATTAATTTTTAAATGTTTATAAATTATTTTTTCTAGATTTAGTTCACATTAATACTTATAACTAGTATCACTACCCCCCACCAAATTAATGTTAGAAAATGGAAAAAATGTGCTGTGTGAGATTCAATTTTTTCAAAATTCTGAACAAGTTAAAAGTTCGTTGAGGTATTTATTCTTCTTCTTTTTCATCGTCTTTATCCTAACTACTTGGGGCCGACCACCCTTATCAGATATAACAAATAACTCATATAACTTATGATCGACATAACATTTTGTATTTTTTTTAACCAATTTTTACACTATAGGACTATATATAAAATAAGTTTTGATATTTTCATAATTGTAGAAAATTATTTTTTTACTAACTTTTTAACTTCGATGCGAAGCGGAAAAGATATTAATTTTACTATGATGTGTTTTTTTTTGTTTATGTCTGTCACCCCTTTTTCTCAGCTCTCACTTGACCGATTTCTTTCAAAAATACGTCAAAAGATTACAAATCATATCTAGTTGAAGACATTACCCTTAA